TCAAACGTGAGGCCTTCCGAGTTCAAGGGTTCGAATTTATTTGTCTGCTCAATTTGAAATTCTACTATAGGATTTTTCAAATTACATGGGGGCAGGCAGGGTAGCCTTGCGGGCTAAGGTGCTAATATATATATATATATATTTAGACAAAATTTATAATGAATTTCGAAGAAAAAAAAATGTCTTTTATTAATCGTTGACAATATTCTCCACCTACTATTCCATACTCAAAATATATCATAGAAATTTTTAAAAAATTACATTTATGATTTAAAAAAGCGTTACTCAAGAATTATTATTATTTTTAATTGTAAAAATTTTGTGTTAATTGTAAAAAATGATGATCAGGATATGATTTTTATCACTTATGACCAAAGATAAAAATCGCTATCAGATGATTTTTTCAAATTCCGGATGATAAATTTTGATCAGTTTTGATTTTGACTTTTTTTTAAGTATTATTATTATATTAACTATCGATTTCAAAACCTGGTATAAAGAATTAAAAACTTGAGCTAAAACCATTTTTTAATCATTTCTGAACAAGTTTTCGAACTCTTCACTCAATCCGCCTAGTGAAAAATCACCAAAGAACCGCAGTTTTCTTCATAGATAAACAAAAACTGATCGCTCAAATTCTTTCGATTTCACTTTATCCTTAACGGTTTTCTTTTCCCAGCTTTATAATCTTTGCTTCAAATATATGTTTAACTGGCTTACTTAATGTAGCTTCCAGATTGAACAAAACAAAATAATTAATTTTTAACTGTAATATTTATAAAATATATAGTTTATAAAATTTACTGTTACTTGGAGATCGAAGCAGGTAGAACTGAGGAGAAACCTACTGCATTCATTGTCTATTGATCTGTACGGGTGGTGAAGACTATCCTAGCTCTCTAGACTTCTGTGCGAATTATAGCGCCATAGTGTAAGCTGTGTGTAGTTTAGCCCATCCTATATTATCATTTTAAATATCCATTAAAGAATTATACAATTATTTTGTATTATGTTAAATAAACAAAATTGTTTTTTACAATACATATTTAAAATTCATTTATCCTTCTGAAGATTATTGTAAGTTTCAAACAACAAGGCACTCCAGATTATGCTGATGAACTAATGAAAATAAATGAGGTGAAATAACATATATAGCCTTATTTTATATTTTTATATTTCATATTACTACTACAACTTTTTTTTATTATTTGATCATCTTTAAAAAATAAATGAGTAAGAAAAATAAATAAATAAGATTTGATTTTATCCTTTAATCTCTCAGTAAGCTATTTTTATTTTTTTTTTTTTTGGTATTTGTGTATTGGTTTATTTGCACATGTAATTGATATTCATTTCAATATATTTTGCTAAACTTTATTTTCCAACAGTTTTCGTCCATTTTATAAACTGTTACAATATCTTTGAAGTTAACCAACGACATATACATTCAATTACTAAGAGTATATATATATATATATATATATATATATATATATATATATATATATATACATTTAAAGGGAAAATAACTTAAATTCTTAATCCGAGTTCGGAAAAAAAAATTGAAACAATAAATAAAATATTGATAAAACAATATTTTCTACGATCTTATTTATTTTTTTAACTCTCTCTCAGAGTCAAAGTCCACTAATCATGCTTATAATAATTGTATAAAAGTTTTAAAACACATTTTTTTTTCTTACAATTTACACTTTTTTCCTCTTTCTTTTCAACAAAAAGACCTCGTTATTAAAGAGTATATTATACCATTATAAAAGTAAAAAAAAAAATCAACAAAAAACTTGAGTTTCATGGCTTTTTTTTACCTCGTTAAGGTTGTTTCTTAATGAAAATCGTGCTCAACTCACTAAGGTAGTTGAGAATTATTTTATCGAAAACTTTAACCATGGGTTATTGTGAAATAGGCGAGCAAAATCATTTCAAAATTAACTTATTACTTATCTCTTTTTTATATAGAGATGATATGTAAATTTATTAAGTATTTTTTTACAGTTTTCTTATCCATTACGTGTATGTGTTCGCATTTGTAGTGCAACTAACGCTTTAAATAATATCCTCTAACCCGGAGGAGTTAGATACAGTTTAAACTAGAAAATAGGTTCTATTCTACATGTCGGACATAGGCAGAAAGTTTGATCGTCATTTTCAAATTTGAAATATCAATTACTTTTTTTAAATACAGATTATTCCAATTACAAACTATTTAAATTGATTCTAAAAAAAAATAATGTACAAAATATCTAAATAATCTGTATTTTAAAAAATAAAGATACAAATCCAATATACTCATGTTTAATGAAGTGACGCCTTACTACTATTTTTTTTTTAAATTAACATATTTTTCCAAGAAAGTGTTGTGTGATACGCTGACTTAGAGAGATAAATTAATTTGAAAATATTTTTTTTTTTTTTATTTATTTAACGAAACTGTATAAGCATTACAACTATTAAATATGCACACAGTAGAAATAATGACATGAACAGACTTGAAGAGATACTGCCAAATGGAAGCACTCCTTTGAAAATAATTAATAAAGAATAAACTATTTTGTTTCGTTGAATTAATAATGCTTCTGAACATGTTACAAAAGTGACGCTTTATCAAATTATTTAATTTAAGGTATTCTTTAAGGCAGCACAAGATTGAATTCTCCCTGTTGAAATATTTTTTACAAATATTTAAAGATTTTATTTTAAAAATATTTAAAGATATTATTATAGGTAAAAAAAAAAAGAAATGTTTTTTCAACAATTCAACAACTCTTCCATCCTTATCTGTGTTCAGACATCGGATTCCTGCATAATGTTTTTTTTAAAAACATTCAATTTTATGACCAAAAATTACTAAATTAAAAATGAAATCCCATCAGTCTAAATAAACAATTCCAAGATAGATCTTTAAATAACAATATATAATCTATATAATAGATTATATATAGACACTACGAAAATAGACACTACGAAAAAAATAAACCAACTGTATTATTTCATACAGGGCTGTTCATTGAACTGTTGAGTGGTAAAGTTAATCATATAACATATATTAATGCTTATTTATATTGCCATCTGTCTTATACCTCTCCAATATTTAAAAATAAAAAAATAATAATAAAAAATAAAAAAAAAATAAAAAAAAAGTGGACATTGTTAATGTTATGTTTGAATGCAGTACTAGACTCAAGATCTAACATTGTTAATTATACCATTATATTTATTTGTACAGGAATTTCCTTAGACAAATAAAATAAACTATCTATCTATCTATCTATCTATCTTTAAATAACAACACCTAGTGTATGTGTTTTCAATTAGAGTATTTTTTTTTTGTTTATTTTTAAATAACTACTTTAATCCCCAAACCATCGAATACACATTTTTTTTTCTGAAAAAAGTATTTTATTTGCTGGTATCGGACTTCAATAAAATGAAATGGCGTCTACAGTACATCCTGAATATCATTTTATTTTTATTTTTTTTACATCATCATGTTTTAATTTGTATACATTTTTTGAAAATAACTAATGGAAAAGTGAAATTGCTGGAGGATCGCCGGAGAATTAATATCAATCCACTGACTACAAAAAAGTTGGTCATCTATGCACTTATATAATTTTTATCGTAGTATTGATTATTCGCTTTAAATCATTCATTCCTCTACTACGAAAACCGCTTTCTAGAAATATGCTGGCAGAGTAGAAAGAATTTGAAGAATAATTGTGTAAACGGAAGCACAAAGCATGTTTGGAAATTCTGAATACAAGGGCAGTTAACCGCATGTAGTGATTTTGCAATGCAGATGTGTTGTCATCGTAAAACCGCTGAAGTGCTACCCTTTGTGAGTGGAATGTTCGTGTTTTATGTTTGTGACATTGGGGACAGATCCCGCTCATCTTCAAAATGAACATGTTTTTACTTTCACTTACCTATATATGACGTATATAGGTAAGGAAAGTATTGCGATCGGGAAAATTTTCGAATCTTAGTTTTTAACGGAAATACACGTATTGAGGTCCCCTGAGTCCCGCAAAATGGTCTGTTGTTTTTTGGGGGGCTTAGAGGCGTAAAACTCTGAGGTCATCAACACCTATATATTCTATGTTTCAATTACCTCAATACTAAATTATTTTTTGGGGAAAAAAATATATAAACTCAAATTTAGATTTTGTTTAACAAATCATTAACTTTAAAAAAAATTATCCCCGACCATCACAAGTACAACTTTAAAATATCTGATAGTTTTGGTATGAGTCCTAATTTGGCTATGATTGATACGTAATAGGGACACTCATGAAAAATGTGGCTGGCTGTGAGTGTACCGAAGCAGTGTTGGTTGGCATTTTGGTGTTGTCTGTTCAATTATCAGTTAAGAGTATGTCATCGAATATTCATTTATTTTCGTATTTCTCTGACATAGAATATAGTTGTTGTAAATAAAATAATCTGGTGTGGTACGCACATAACACAACTTTCACTTACCACTGTCTTCTTAGCAGACATAAGTATTTTCTGACAAAGAGGAAGTGAAAGTAAAAATTATAGACAGTATATTCATTTATATTTCATTGTGGGTATTTTTATTTGTTTAAGTGTATATATATATATATATATATATATGTATATATATATATATATAAATTTTAATATTTATATCGCTGTAATCTGCACAACTAAATATTAATACCAACGATGGTATTTATGAAAACCACATATGTATACGCACATAATATCGTTGGAGACCGCTACTAAGTATAGAGTATTTTTGAGTATATCAATTAAATCTTTGTGGCCCTTGTTAATCTAATTCAGTTTTCATTATTCATTGTCAAGTAAATGCACTATTACTCCATATGGTCCATTTTAATCAATTGAACTTAATAATTATTAACTAATGCATTGAATTTTAAAACATGACTATATAATATTTAATTAATATCCTATTTGAAATTTCAATGAATAATTTTAATTTTCTTTTGTTCTAGATGCCCTAATATGGGTGGATTAGACAGGCTGGTTAAGGCGGCATGTTTTCTCTGCCTTGTAGCCTGTCTCATCTTTTCAGGAACAGCTTTGTAAGTAAACTTCACAATAATAATTATTTATTCAAATTTATATATTTCTTAGTTGTTATTTTTATTAAAATGCTTTAGGAACTTAATAAGAGATGAGGTTTAAATGATTTGAAACCGACACATTCTCCTCTTGATGGTGTTCATAAATACGTAAAATAATAGATCAAAAGTAGAATTTACATTATTTATAAAAGACTTGCCCAGAAGATCTAATGCCTATTAACATAAATTATATACACTCCCTTTTAGGTTGAAGAATATTACACAAACATGGAAATAGGTTTACATCAAATGATATAATATCTAGAGATAGAAAACCTCAATATATGTAATCGGAGATGTCACAGAGTATACAAATTTCGGTCATATCGAAATTTATAATGGGTAGAAGTCTGTCCACATGCGTAGAACTTGATAATGATGAAGTTTGATCATTGAATCCCAACAAGAAAATATGGTCCCTTCAAGAGCTGTATTTTAGTCCTTTATTTTCATTATCAGAACAGAGGAGTTTTGTAGATGGCGTGATAAACTTATTTCTAAAAGTTTAAAAACATTTACTGCTGAATTATTCCTTTCCAGAAACCTTTAGAAGACAATACCTCAAAATCTATATCGAAAAAGAGGAGTAGTTATGAATATTGACTATGTTGGATATTAAAAGCATTGTTCAATTAAATAACATATTTTATTTTCTCACTCATGTTTTTAATTACATTAATTATACAACCCTTTATAATCAAGATTACTTTTAGGAATTTTTAAAATATCAGCGCCTGTTTCGCATATCTATAAACCTCATAATACAAACTCTTTATGCATCTGTTCATTTAACTGTTTGTCTATGTCTTTATTACACTTATTGTTTGAAAATCGTAGTATTATTTATATTATCATTATAATTTTACATTGCTATAATTTCTAATTGTATATTTGTATATTATAAATATGTTCATGGTAAATATATCAGTATGAATAACCTTAAATAAAATCAATTGGACCACACCGCTATGGCTACATGATATATTTAAGCCAATAAATATATTATCTATCTATTTTGGTCCTATTTCTAATACATTTTTAGTATGAAAACAGTGGCCAGACGCGGGTTTTCAGATCTATGAATTATAATTTATGTTTTTTTTTTTTTAATTCGTCTTGATCTGCATATGTCAACGAACTGTTGACAATCATCAAATGATCTGATGGTGATTACACTTCTGGCATCGAGAAGGATAACACCCTGCAGTACCTCTACTCTGGTTCAATAACCATGGTTTTTAAAAGATCTCTCATCCAACGCCTTTTCTATCTCCTCCTCGTATTCATAGGCATATCAACTGAAGCAATATCTGTTATCAGCATGCTAGTATTGCCGTATTAATTAGTATGAAATCATTTATAAAAAGACCTTATGGGTTATTCAACTGTTAACAGATGAGAGTCAGTATGTAGGGTTTTGTTAGTCACGTGCCAACATGCTTTATTCAAGAATTGTGATACTTTTTATTCTTAAGATTGAATTTTTTGTAAGTGGGCCTTTTTAGCTAATGCTTATATCTGTGAAAAGTATATTTTTGTAGATTTAAGAAAGTATATAAAGTGCATTTAGTTTCTGTCTCACTTCTAGTACTGAAATTTTGGAGAAAAAACAAATGTCAGCTGTAGTGAGTCAAAGTGAGTACTTTGAGTCATCTACTAAGAGTCTTCTGTTTTAATCTGTCGAAAAGGAAAGATTGGTGAATCAAGAAGTATGTGTGCGGTATTATGGCCTTTATTTTAAAGATAAGACATTGGTGCTAGACTTTGTTAATTTTTTTTTATTCTGGTGCTTCTGCAATGTAGTTAGTAATTCTGTGTAATTTATATGTCGGTGAATGTAATGTACGAAAGCCGAACTGGCGAATCTGATATCTTAAAAAGTCGTTTGTATATTAATTTTTCAAAAACTTTTGAAAGGAGGCTAATTGGTCTAATTGGTCTGTAGGATGAAGGATAGATTTGTCAGGTTTGTAGATCATTTTAATGATTTATTATTTTCATTGCAAATGAAATTTAGATGTTTCCAGTTGTAAATTGTTGACAGAAATACTAGAGCTTTCCTGGTCCTGTGTTATTTTGCTTAGACTGTAATTAAATCAGTGGCGTTTCTTTTGAGAAAATATTTTATTTGTAGTGTAACCAGAGTTAGAGTGAACAAAGAAAGTTGTAGTGTCAGCTGATAACAATTTTGACCTTATTATTTCTAACATAGCAGCAGTTGCCTCATGTCACACTACTGAAAATATAAAGCTAAGTAATAAATTGTGAAATTAAAAATTTCCTTCATGCCCTTTCATTAACTTTTATTGAAATATTTTTTTACTGCATTCAATATTTTTAGCCAAAGTCGGGTATAGTAGACAGGATTTCTCAGATCTTAATGACCAAACTCTGATGGACGATTTTGGACAACATTTACAATAAAAAAGTTCATTTGATGCACATGGTCCGATTCCAAACGAAAAAGGATTTATGATCAATTTTTTGACATTCTTAAGATGTCACATTTTTATTGAATTATTTATTATTTTATAAATTATATATATTCCTGGCATACAATAAATTTGCCATCTACCTCGGTATTCGGCAAATGTGATATCAAGGAGAACAAATTAAAGTACAAAAAAAAAAAAAATAATAATAACAAAACAAACAAAAAAAAAAGAAAAAAAGGAGTGAATTGAAAATAAGATAGCATAATAATAAAATATAACACAGCAAGTAGTTCAATGCAATAAGTTTCTTAGTCAGCGCCTCGGTAGAATTCTGGGCGGATTATATGGATTTGTGGCAGTAGATAAGAGCTTGAGTAAGTGGGTTTTAATTTAGAGTCAGTCTGTCATTAAAATTATTAAAGAGATCTGTGGCAATTGCCGTGATGAAAGGATTATTGAGGTCAGTACGTAGCGTAAGATTTGAAACATAAAATGGTGCGTCTACAAATTTCCGAAGGACTTTTGACTGAAATAACTGAATTATTTTTATGTTTGACGTCCTTACTGTTCCTCATAGCTCGATTAAATAGGTTTTATTGAATAAGTGATTTTAAAAGATGATCTTGGGAAAGAGTGTGCATGTGGTTGGACTGCTAAAATATATATATATATATTGTTGATTGGTGAATAATGTTTTTAAGGTTTCAAAAATGGCCTAATATCCGGGGTAAATCCTCTGAAAGATTTTTGTATATGTTTTTTCAGATGAAAATTTTTAATTACATCTAAAATCAGATTATCTCTGAAGACGCCTGACGAGGCGAAAATTTGAATAAATTTGAAATAAAGTTATTATTTATCGAGACTGAAAAGGCCTTTTTCTACTAAAGTGATTTAAGTAAAAAATAATGATAATAAATAAAAATTGAATTTACTTTAAGGAAACAGTGATTGAATTCATTAAGGTCGGTGATAAAAAGGACTTTCAGGAGTTCTGATACGACCGCTGTCTGCTCGTGTATGGGTACTGTAACAGAAGCAGTACAGCGGTCGTTTCAGACTTCTTGAAAGTCCCTTTTATCATTGACTTTAGTAAATTTAATCACTGTTTTATCAAGGAATATTTTGTCTAATTTACGGTAGTGTACTTAGAATTTAATTATCGTGAACAGTTTTTGAATAATTCCTTCTTATTCAATAAAAAACGAGACCCCTTTAAGAAAAACATAAAATTGGTCTTAACTCCGTTTCCGCAAGGAATCGGACCATGCATCAAATGAAAGTTTTTATTAGAAATTTTGTCTCATGTAATTCTTTCAATCAACCACCAAAATCCTAATCTCAAATAAGAATCTTTTGAATGGTATGGGTTATACAGATAAAAAAAACAAGAATACGCCTACTTTTACCGTAGGGGAAACATAACGTCTTTTTAAAAGAAGAAAATATTTTCCTCAGAATCTTCCTTGATAGTTTTCCGATATTGCCGTAGGCTTATCAGATCAACAACCTACTGGTCTCTTCTCCCTCGGTCTTGGTCCAAATTCAAAAAGGAGTTGGTTATCTTTCCTTGATAGTTCCTTTGTTCTACTATATTTTGTTAAGGAATCCATTCGGTTTTAATATTATAATTGTTCTCGTAAATTTTGAGAACTTCATTTATTTGGAGTATCAAGATCCAGATTTCAGATTTTAGAAACCAGAGATCACCCAAACGTTAGATGCTTTTAATTGAATATAGATAGTTGTATAATTAAAAATGAAGAGCCTGTTACAGATTTTTTTTGTCATCATTTTATACCCATTTTTTAAAATACATAATTATTATTACTTTCCTACCTATACTAGATAAGGAAAGTATTGCAATAGGGTCAAATTTCCGACATGCGGTTTTCGACGAATCTATACGTTTCACAGCCCCCTAAGTCCGAAAATCACATTTTAAGCCATTGGTCTGTCTGTCTGTCTCTCTGTCTGTGCCAAGATTTTCTCGGGAACTACTGAACCGATTTTGTTGTTCCTTTTTTTATTTTGTAGGATTTTGACTACTGATGCCTTTGACAGAAATTCGTTGCTCCATGCGCAATAGCTTGCGCGCAATAAATGAAAAACATGTTTTTCTATAGACTGTAGCGCGAAAATGGCTCTAACGATTTTGATGAAACTTTTCTATGATGCTCTAATCATTGTCCTTTCAATTTTCGTATAGACACTAAATTCCCTACAATGTCATATAAAAATCGTTCAATTGGACAACTATTAACGAAGTTACAGCTATTCCAATGAAAGATTACGAATTCATTTCCTGGTGTCAGAAAGGGATGAATGACAGAATAAAGATGACTAAGTGAAAGTAAGAATATCTGCCCGCATCACACAACCTTCACTATTTCCTCTACTTTTAACAGAAATTATTGTTTGACAATACTAAGCTATGGCAACAAGTTTTTGATCAGCAATATTAGTGAGTATTGAAATTTTTACACTGATCTACCTTAAGTCGGTTTCATTACTTTAGTTTATCAAATAAATCGTACTCAGATCGTTTGTTTGATCAATTTTCAAGAAAATAAATTTAGTTCAATTCTTTTTTGTTTGTTCATGAACATATGTAAAGATATAAAAACTTTTCTGAAATAGGTAGGAAAGTCGTGTGAGTGGGCACACCAGATTATTTTTAAATTTATGACATGTAGCATATAAGGAACAATATACATTGCTCTTGTTTTGTGTTAACTTAAGTCAAATTTAATGGATTAAAAATCTATTCATTTTTATTTTGTCCTAACCGTAATTAGTCTTGCATCTTATCCATTTCAAAAAATTTCTTTTATTATCAAAAATTCAATGTTTTATTGATGATACCTTGACCAAAAGATATAATAATAATAGCCAGCACATATTTCATTTAAGATCTAAATCTCATTTTTTTATATATTTGTTCCTTTTTGCTAAATGTCGTCCAAATATTAAATCAGTATAAAAAATATAATAATTGATCCTGGCTATTCATCAATTTTTATAAATTAACGACTTCGCCCTATTATAAGTTAATAATGTCATTAATGTGGTTTTAATAATGTAGGTATAGTAACTGCGATTAAAGTTTCAATTAATTATTAAATTTATATCTTAAATATAATATTTATTATTAGAGGAGCGGGGTTACTCAATAGGTGAGGCAGTGAATTCCTATGCTCAAGGTTCAGGTTCGAACTCGGCTTTTAACAGACAATTATTTATTCTGTCACATCAGACGTGGATCCACCCAGGGGTCGGGAGACCCTTGTGGGACATTATTAGAGGACTATACCGATTGGTAAACAGATAATCACGTAGGTATGAATTTTTTCAAATTCTTTCCATTTCTTATAGAAAAAATACTTTCCCTTTCGGATCAGCAAACGTATTATTTGGCAAGCCTATAGTTTGAAAACTGTCCGTTCATTTAACCCAAACTTGGAGGAAATCTGGAGAAAAGTGTAAAAATTTCCTAATATGAATTTCATTGAATTCGATTTAATGATTAAAAGTAATATAAATAATTGTTAACAATGTATATATATATTTTTCCAACCCCTCAAAACGTTTATTTAATAAATTACATATAATAGTATAACAATACTAATATATACATATAATAAAGTCTTTCCACTGTCCGAGGGCATTTTATGGATTGGGGATAGCTAAGGGTAACATACGTGGCAGAAGGCCTTGTAACTTTCATTGAACGGGAATTAACAATATAATGGCACTAATATAATATATATGTGAAAGGCACTAATAATATGGAGTGGGAGTTAGGTTATGACAATATTTGTATGGGGTTATAAAATGTTAGGTTTTATTCAAAGAGTTAATTTATACTGTATTGTTTCGTCGATTCCAAACGTTACTAGCATGACACTTACTGCCGTTACTTATATTTCGTGTAATTTTCAATAAATTTAAATTAATTTTTAATTCTGCACTAACAGTAGTGATATTCATGTTCAGTACGCACTAGATTTTGCTTTTAATCCCGAGTCATCAAATATGCAATCTGCATATGCGGAACTTTTATTATTCGCTGATGAACATAACTCGTGATTATCAAACCTCTATATGTTAAGGGATTACTGAATTTCCGAAAACGGCTTTTCTCAAAGATATTATTCTCATACGAAAAATTTTAGACCTTGTAAAATAGATATTTTTTAGCCAATGCAAACTGTGAGGAAGCAATACTGACTTTATTTGGCAGACTTTTTTTTTTAATAAGGTCAGTCGTATAAATTCCACTAATATTAATGAGTAGATTGGAGCCCATGGGCATTGTTGGTAATATTCTTTATTATATTTTAAAAAACTGTTTTTATGCATACATTTAAACCTTCCATAAATATATTTTTATCATTAATTGGTGTGTTATTTTTATTTGATTACTGTATGTAACTGTTAGTTTCATTGTTTCTTCGATGGGTGCATTTGTAAATTCGTATCGGGATTGCACATGATCAATAAATTGGAAAAGTATACAACAAATATGAAGGTCAAAATTGCTGAAATGAATTTAAAATCTCCAAAGGAAGTGACATTTAATTTATAAAAGTATTATATTAAATATGTTAAGTATTAATTATCCCTCTCCCTTCGACCCCATATAATTGACATCAACCTGTTCTTGAATTTCGTATTTGATTGTCATAAGCCCGTCAAGAGAAAGAGGAAAAGAATTCTCATTTGGTATTCAGGATGGAGCTTAACCAAGGTAGGTAGGGCCTTCGGAAAAGATTGTCCCTCGTTTGTTAGGCCGACTTACTGCCTCCTACGAGGCACGTGCAATAGGCCCAAGTAGTTTTTCCATAATATATGGCTTCCCTACTATCTTGTAAAATATCTGCATACATTTTAATATTTTATATCTACAGACATTATAAAATTTTAATATATTCGATTATTAAGTCGATACAAGCAAAAGTTTTAAAACAATTAATTTTTACGCTTTATGAACCTTCGAACATAATAAGGAAGTAGTTAAAAAGCTAATTACTTTTGTAAACTTTTTATATTTTATATAAAATATTTTATTCATATGTAATAGTCCGCGGTACAGACCCCTTTTCATCGAACTACTGACATCCGCCAGAAACTTCGTATATATTTTCTATTTACGAATTTATATAAATAAATATGTATATATAAATACTATTTTATTTACGAAAACTCTTGGAATTGGGACGTTTTCAATCTGGTGTGGGCCAAACTTTGTCTATTTAATTAGGTACTAAAGCCTCATAAATACACATTTCATTTTTACTCGGATCGTAAGATAATTTAATCACAAAATAGATAAAAAAAGGTGGCCTACAAAAATATTGGCCCGTTTGTCCTTTATAACGTCTTTGTATTGAAAATTTGGAGGTTTAGGTCACGCCTAACGACTCAATATTTTTTAATGGCACCTTTTTTCTCGATTTTGCGATCAAATTATCTTGCGTTCCAAGTAGAAAGAAAATGTGTATTTACAAATATTTTATACTTAATTAAATAGACAAAGTTTTCTCCCCTTCTGAATGAAAAAGTCCCAATTCCAAGAGTTTTTGTAAATAAAATAGTTACATGTTACGATGAGATGAAAATATTTACGAAGTTTCAGGCGGATGTTAAGAATTCGATAAAAATGGGTCCACGGACTATATAATATCATTTAAACTTTATATTAACAAATTGTGTAATGAATATAAATAAATAGTGAAATGATTTATTTAACGCTTTCTATTTAAATAACAACGTTTCTGCTGTAACGCCATTTTATTTTATATATTTTTAATGTAATTTTATCGCAATAGAATCTTGTTATATACAAATCTTGTGAATGTATGTAATATTCACATGCTATTAGGCAATCGACTTGATCCCATTTAGGACTATAACGAATCAGCAAACAATTTATTTATTTATTGCTCAATATGATTATTGACTACGATCACTATTTAATTAAAATTTAAATGATGTAGATATAATATGGGAAGGAGTTGGTCGGAGGGTGCGGTCAAATGAATACTAAATTTTAAAAAAATAGTATTTTTAATTGTTTCGACCCATCTTGCAGGTCTTCATAAGGGCTACAGAAGATACAAAATATAAAAGATACATGGTGAAAATAAAATAAATGAATTATAAGTAGATATTAAATAAGAATCCAATGAATGCCAGAGTAGTAGGCAAGAGATCTCGTGGTATTTAATATCAAGTATTAAATATATAGAAGATACAATTCTATTTTTGTTTTTATCTTCTATACATATAATACTTGATATTTTAACTACACTGTCGCCCACTATATCTCTGATGCCATCTTATTATTTCTTTATCAGACAATTGTTTCTTATTTAATATCTATTTATAATTCATTAATTTCATTTTCACCATATAACTTTATATTGTATAAACGTCGGCGAAACATAAAAATACTGGTTTTTAAAAATTTAGTATTCATTTGACCGCACCCCCCGACCAACTCCTTCCCAAATTAAAATTTAAACATGTAAGATAGTAATTTTTCTGTTTGGATTAGCCTGAGAGTGGTGTAAAGGCGGAAGAGTTGCCACATAAATAGAAAGCGTTGAATAAATACACGGTGGAGAAAAAGGAAACATCCTAAATTATTTCAGTACTTAAAAAGAGTTTTCACCTTAACCTTGATACAAAAAGATAAATAAATGGCACTTTTTCTTTTTTTCCAAATAACTAATTCACATGTTTGTTCTTTTCGGTATTTTTAGTTTTTCTCTATTTTTAATTGATCGTTCTTTTCAGTATTTAAAATTCTACTTAAGAAACGTAAAAAATCAATCAGCAAAGAAAGGAATGAAAGTTCTATTATAATGAACAATCAGGTTTTATAAAAATCAACGAAAATAAACGTTTGAAGAATATATCGCAACTGTTAGTGCAATATATTTTTGTATATATTTTCAGGAACCCAGAAGGTGAGGGTAAGTCGGATAAGGAGGTCCTAGACGAGTTGCTTAACGGATCTAGGTACGACAAAAGACTTAGACCTCCAGTAAGCGAAGGTAAGGTTTGAATGTTTATATTACTTTTAATTTAGGAAGTAATAACACTGAGCCCAAGATGTAAAATATTACAGTATGCAAATTATTTTTTTACTAAATAATTTAATAACCAAAAAACAAATTTTAATAGCTCACAATTGTGGAAAATTAGATCCCTCAACAAATACAAAAATGTGACATAGTATACTTTATCCTCGGTGTATAGATTTAGTAACTAAGAAACAAATTGTAATAGCTCAAAGTTATCGAGAATAGGCTCCTATAACAAATACAAAAATGGACACGGTTTTCTTTACCTCCGGGGTACAGAACTGATAATTATAATTCCTAAATCTAAATGTGATTTATATCCAGTAAATTAGAGCAGTACTATTTTATTCACAACTCATACCATAATAATACTACGAGTTTATTCTTAACAATTATTTTAACATTTTGGTTTAATTTAATGAAATAAATTTTCTCTTATGTCTATTCTGTTTTAAGTATTACTACCGGTATGCGATCCTGAAATCTAAAAATCCACTTGAAAAAGCCGCCTTCCAATTAGTACAAATAAACAAGTACTTTGAACATAACTAATTTTATTCTAATTTCTAGTCTGAAGATGAGTTATTAAAGTGGTCCCGAAACGTCATAAAAATAAAGAAAAGAGACTGCAAATTATTTCACAATGGTTTATTATTTCCAAACAATTATTCATCTAAAGTAACATTACCTTCCTAGTTACTAGTGTTGCCCAAATGCGAGACCGAGATGAGTCTTGGTCTTGCAAACTCAGTCTTGGTCATGGTATTGGTCTTGCGCAAGACTCTCGCTATAGTCTTGCAGTTACTTATTAGCTTATTACTATATAGATATTACTGTATTTTTTTAGATAGGAGAAACTTAACTAAGCCCGAATTCAAAAGTATATTAGTTATATCAATTATTAACATACAGTAACTAAGATTGTCAAGTATTAGTAACTTTTTTGAATTAATTTTTTTTTAAATTGATTTTTTTTTACCAGTCCTGGTCTTGGTCTTGCAACAGTTTAGCGGCCTTGGTCTTGGTCTCGCAAAGTGCAAGACCAAGACCGATTTTGGGCAAAAATACTAGTTACAAAGAAAGATAAATAAAAGGTGATCCCACTTATTGGACTAAACTTTTTAATCACTGGTAATATGCTACAATAATTAGCACTACTTCAGTAACATATTTAAATTCAAAAACCAAAAGAAAGAATATTACCTTTGCAGTAGAACATAAAAAACATCTAGAGACCATATTTTTGCTCCCAATTGACTGATCCTAACGATTTTTTTTTTTTTTTATGAAATTTCATAAACTTTTAAATAACCATACAATATTGACAAAAAAGTGTATACTTTTTGAGTTATTCGGAATTTAATTTTACTATCCTTCGTAACTTTTTTTTCAGTTTCTTTTCCTTTATGTATGTTATATAAATAAATTTAAAGGACGTCGAGAAAATGACTTTCACGAAGTTTCATTGAAATTGGTAAATTCGTTTAGGCGGTACAGTCTATAGCAACGCAGGTTTTTTGGTCGTCATTTTGAAAGTAAAAGACGGATAGTAATGTCGATGAAGGAGTATAATCCTCAGGTGACCTCTGATTTTATATCCAAATTTGAAAAAAATCGATCCAGTAGATTTGGAGAAAATGCTCGGACGGCGGACGGACAAAAAAATGTTTATTCGTTTTTCGAATTCTGAAACATAAAACCACAAATTTTGAGAGGGGGTTAAGTTTTTGAATTTTTTGGCCGATCACAATGGTTCATTATTAAAAATAATAAACCAAAATTGTTGGTAAAGTAAAACTGTTACTTAATTTTTATTTATATACCTCAACTAATTTTATGTTATTGTGAAGCGAGCAATCATGGCTTAATTGTGTCTGATTTAGAATTTTGTCATTTCCATGTGTCTTGAGATCGGATAACGTTTAATGTTATCAAATTATGGTCCATTGAAGGAATGCTGCTAATAAAACACCAATAAAAATAATTCATAGAACTACAGGCTATTGAAACTTTGGTAATGACCGGATTAAAAGGGAAACATATTTAAGTGAAGTGCCAAGTCCAGTAATGGAGTTGAGATGATTATAAATGCATGGAATTTAATGGAAAATTATGGAGAGCCCTGGAGATTTAGTAATAACCGGAAATGAGAAACCTGATTACAAGCCTAAATATAGCAGGGCCTGAACCATTTTCTCGAAGTCTAACGTAATAATATTCTAATACTACTTCCGGAAAGGCTATCAAAGTTTTGCTTCCTCACTACTGAAGGTAGGGAAGCTAAGTATTCGTGCGTAGGACTAAAAAAAAATTCTATTAGAGTCATAAATTTTTATTTGTGTTTAAACATCAAGTTACGGATTTGGTTTATCTAGCTAACGGTATTCAAATTCATGTGAGGGTTTCCAACTATCATTAATCCTGTTTTGATGAAATTTGGAGGGATTGTTCGGGTTTTCACCTAGATGGTTCCAAATCAATTGTATCAATTTCCTTCTACTACTGTTGGTATTGATACCTCTATATTTCTGAAACGTATCATTCTATTTAGCCTAAAATTTGAGGAAAGTTAGAGATCATTGAAAAAATGAATCAGTATCAATTTTACAAAATTTCCATTTTCGCTTATGGATCATCATGCGCAATTTTCTCAATATCTCTATATTGAGGAAACAGCTAATTAAGCCCAAAGTTGGAAGGAATTTGGGAAACGGGAGTACAAATGTTCAAATATCAATTTCATAATATTACGTTTAACAATTGAAATTAATATGATTATTAACAATGTAATGGTTGTGGTACGATGTAGGCAGTAAAAATATGGTAATTGATGTTACATAAGTTTGTAAAGTTATGTCCAAACGACAAACAATAGATTGTCAAATATAAATAATAATGTATCAATAGAAATGCTAAGCAAGCTATATTACCTTAATAATACCTTTCTTGGCAAAACGGAATCAAACTCTAAAATCAGTTTTATACAGTCCCGTTTAAAATAAATAAACCTACTGGTTGTTTGAATTATTTACATGAAAACGTAAATATCAAGATTAGGAACATTTATTTGATCACTTATAAATACGAATCAAATCCTATGATAGAGATCTTAATAGAAAGCACAGTTTCATTATCACTTTAGATGATAAATTTTCGAAAAATCATTATAATTAACATTTTTTTAAACAAATAAAAAGTGTTTTTGTTCAGTTATGTTTATTATAATACATCCCAGTTCATGCAAAAAAATAAATTAAAGTTTTGCAATAAGTTATTGTAGTATTTTTTGCTGAAATCATTGTGCGACCGAAGGTGACGATCTGATATTTTTTTATGTAGTTAAAGGTGAATCTCAAAATATACCATAACAAACTCCAACTTAATTAATATGTTCTTAGACCCTATTAAACACGAAAGGTTTTCCGAAAGTTGGGTATCTGGAATATAGTTGTACAATGAAAAAAAATCGCGAGTAATTCGTGTTTTTTTAAACAGAATTTAGCTTAGTTTATCCTCTCAAAAGTTCTTTTTTAATTGTTTTAAGAATTGTAAACTCTAGTTTCATCTAAAGTAAATATTGTCTAGTTTACTGTGATGCAATTGTTAACTATCTAAATTAAATATTTTTTAGTATCTTAAGGTCTGCCATCACCTTAAGTATTAAGATATAATTGATATAATTTTTCTTCAAAAATTGTTCCTACTTTATAAATTATTCCAGTTATTTTTATATTTATTTTATAAAATTTTAGAAAGAATTTTATAAATTTTAAATGCCTTAATATTTGTAGCCTATTAGTATTCGGAATGAATAAAAAAAATATTAAATATAGTTATTATTATATACAGTGGTTTCGAGCTGTGCCCAGTTATGAATATGCAAACGCACAGAAGCAGATTCATTCCTTATTCATGAGATATTTTCAGCCTTCTTTTAATTTTTACCTTTTATTTTTCGTGCACCAAATCCTTTATTTTATTTTATTTAAAAATTTACTAATGAATTAAAGTTCTGCTAAATGCTTAGCGCATATCACACTGATTTAACATTCTGAATCGTAAAATCATTTATTAGGTTACCGGATAGTTTTGTAATTAAATGTTCAATTTTTTTCTGCTAAATTTAATTTAATGTGTACCTTAATGCATTTTTATAAACAGGTCAAATTGTCTACAAAATAAACTAGATATTTATAAAATCTCATAATGCAACTTGATACCGCTCAATGATGTAAATGAAAATCATACAATTTTGGTTGATGTTTTTATTATATTATAACCCTTTCTTTAAACTCTAGCCTCCATCAAACAATGAGCTTAATCTAACTTATGAAGCCTGCAACAACTGTTAATTATATTACTAGTGATTAACGCGACAATATGCATTTTTCAGAAGTCAAATATTGTAATGTGATGCAAGTTTTAATTTCCTTTGGTTTAGAAACAAAAAAATACTATATATTTTCAAAGAGATAAAATTATTATTATTAATTTTTTATCTGTAAACATTTAATTTTTATTTAAATATTTTTTTTGTATTTATTAATTATTTATAAGTTGAACAGATACTTCATATTATTATTTACTGTATATAATCTGTTAAAAATATTTGTTTACAAATATAACACATAATGTAATTTTTTTTTTTTTCAGATCCATTAATCGTAAACATGAGTGTACTTCTTCTCAGCCTTGCTTCACCTGATGAATCCAGCCTGGTAAATTAATACAAATTATTTTAATGATAGTAGAGTTGTGATAACTCTCGAGTCGCTATCATTTTATACAATGTTTAAATGTTTTATATAATATTTAAATATTATTATTACTAAAAATTGCCTAAGCCAAATAATGAGAGCACAGAAAAGATTATTACTGACCACTTGACACTAGATTATCAGCTACTTAACCCTTTGACTGCAGGAGATCATTGGCTCATTGGTGTTGAATTTTGAAATCCAGAGGATTTTTTTCGTTGCATAAATTTGTTTAAAATGCTAATTTGAGTCACCCTTCAAGATCTTATGTTTATTATTCTTATATACTTATGTTTTCAAGGCCAAGGAACACGAATATGACGCCAAATTAGAAAATTTCCATGAAAAACAAAAACATCGCGCATTCTTTGTTTAAAATAGAGAATTTTTAAATTTGACAATAAATTAACTTCAAAAATGATAGAGACCTCATAAAACGCATAATTTTAGATACCTATTTATAACTACTGTCTATATTACTACATATAACCGTTATTTTTTATTTTAAAAACAATAAATTAAAAAATGTACAATACACAATAAATATAATTATAATGTATGTATATGTAATAACTTAAAAAGTGTATCGTTGTATTAATTATCAACATTCATTTTATAACAGTTTTTATGAAATGATAAACACTTTATTTTATTTTCATTACAAAAAAAATTATTTATTTAGAAATATAATAATCTGTCACATGCACAATAATTATAGTGTGATATGAACACATTCACATCATATATACAGAAAACATAAAATTAACAAAAGTAAAATAATAACTAAATAATAATCAAACAACTATGTACAAGAAAAAATAAAATAACCTAAAGATAAGTAAATTAAAAACATAAAAACTCAGTCATACCTATATACAATCAGGTATGGAATCCCAAGCCAGGCTTGTCCCTCCAACTATAGAGGGGAAAAAAGGACTCTAAGAGATCCCTGCGCTACTCTCTCAGCCGCATCACTGGTGCTAAAGCCAGTGGAAGGTACAAAAAAATTTTTAAAAACCATCAATAATGATATTTTGAACAACATCAATACTTCCTTACATTTTCTGATGAAAAAGTATGTATTTTTTTCATTGATTGTAAATATTATATTAACAACAACTGATGCAGATCAAGTCATAAAGGTTCAACCAAATACTCTCAGATTCAATTTACTGTCATGAAATTATAACGACATCTAAAAACAATAAGCGTTAGAGATAGAAAACACTTATATTTTATTACTAACAGACAGTAATCATAGTGAATCAAGTAAATAAAAGTTGTTTTTTTCCTTGAGGCCATCTTATACGAGTACCATTGAGCCCACCTTTTATTTAATTTTAAACGTTTGTTCATTTAATTATTTATTTTGATTAGAGAGAAAATACAGGATGGTTGTATACTGTTAAAAGCATAATATTAAAGTTTAATTCTTATTTAGGTAGACAAAATTAATATTTTAAAACAATGAAAACTAATATTTAATGTAACTTTTTTTTTACTGTTTTGCTTTGAGGTATTTTTTGAAAAAAATAAGGAACCTTATTTTCTTTATATTCAATACAATTCTTAAAAGTAAATTTTAGGGCATGTCTAGTTATAGAAGATATTAGTACATACCTAGAAATGGTTCAAACATTTATACATACAAAAATAATTATAAATATATTTTAACTACCTCCGGGTGGACCATGGCAGTTTAAATTAATACGAATTTATCTTTAACAATGACTGCTAAAAAGTTTTAAGAAATTAATTTTCTGGAGGATGTCAGAGGTTTTTTTAAATCACAGTATTTGAAAAAAATTGATTCAAAGACACCTATTTTTGTTAACAAAAAAGAAAAAATATTCGAAGTAAAACAAGTTTTAGAAATGATTATATATATTTTTTAATTAAGTAGAATAACAGTAAAAAGTGTATAAAGTTTCAAGAAAAAATGATCAACTGTCAGCTTGAACCAAGCAATTTTACAAAACCAACAAATCAGGCGAAATTCCAAATTTTATGAGGAAAATTATAAAATTAACTTATATTTTATGTATAAAACATTTAAATAGAACATAAATAAGATCATGGATATGACACAAATAACAGAGAAAGGATAAATAAATCTGCAACTGATAGCTTTCAAATGGTCAGAATCCGGAATGAATGCACTGAGTTTGCAGCTACAGGGGACTAATGAATGCACCAACCAAGCCACAAGTCAAATGGTGAAGGTGGTACTTGTCCCTACTTGTTTAAGTGGTGACTGCCCAAGCGGGAAGGCATGTATCCCGGCCACACCAGTGACCCAACTCATTACCAGGAAGGCATATATCCCATCCGCACCAGTGACCCAATTCTTAACTGGAAGGCATTCTGCAGTCAAAGGGTTAATCAGTTAACTTTATATGCCGTGAATATTAATCTAATCCTCATACGTGAATCATCTTTGTACTGACTACCTAACTTAAACTGTGTTTCAATTATGAGAGGAAGAGGTTATCTTCATTAAGATGACATTATCTAGCAGTTTTTCTCTATCTTTATATGTTATTAAGAGACGATATATTGCAAATGTTGGTTGGCATTCCTATGAATGATAAGTAGCCATGTGTAAACAAAAATATCAGTTGTGCTTGTTCTACCATTTTATAATCAATTTGAAATTGAAAAAATAAATTGTTTAGTTGATCTAAAAGCATACGCTAATGAGAGAGTGTTTATAAAGTTAATCAACGTCTTTGATTCATAAGATAATATTAATGGCATTATTATAATTTTAAAAAATCCCAACCGATTATTTTAAGAAGCATCAGATTGAGTTTACTATATATTGAAATTAATTTTAAGTTGTTTTTGATATTTCAGAAATATGAAGTAGAATTTCTTCTTCAACAACAATGGTTTGATCCCAGGCTGGCCTATAAGAACTCCACGACTTTTGACTTTCTAAATGCTATTCATCATCATAATGACCTGTGGCTCCCTGATACATACTTTATCATGCATGGTGACTTTAAGGATCCTTTGATTCCTGTACATTTTGCACTTCGAATATTCAGGAATGGAACTGTCAACTATCTTATGAGGTATACTTTAGTATTTTATTGAGAAAAAAAATGTAACCTGTTATATTGTTTCTTTAAATATTCATTGAATTTCTTATCAATAATTTATTGATTAGTTTATCAATTCTTCTACTCATTTTATTAGAAAAATTAAAGTTAAAAAGAAAAATATTGTCTGTCTTTCATCATCATTTTCTTCTGTTCATCTAGCAACTTTAACTAGTAGTGATGTATGTATATGGACATCATTTGATGTTTGCTCCATTTTCTTCATCTATTTTTTTCACTTACTCTTCTTGCTGTCTGTCTTTTCACTTACTTCTTAGTGTCTTTCAGTGGAGAGCATGCAATTTTAGTCTGTTTTATCCATTCATTTCAATCTAGATCTTCAAGTTTCATTTGTGTCAATTACTTTCTCCTTTTTATGTCTTGATAAACTTTTTGATATATTCACTAAATTTAATTTATGGCCTACTAACAGATCGTCTTTCTTCTGGTCTTACCTCCGTATAGCATTCTTCTTTTCTTTCCTTAGTCAATCAACATTTATGACCAAACCATTATAATTGATACTGCTCAATCCTGATCTCTATGGATGGAACATTCAGATTTTCTTTAATAATTTCACTCCAATTAATTAATTAAGACAATTCCTTCTTGTCTTTCCAACTTCTTACTTAAGGAATCCCAAATTCAACAGCAGTAAATCTTATCTAAGGCAGTCCAATGTTCTGCTCTGTACAGGAGGAGTGGAAAAAATACCATCTTTAAAATAACCTACTTTTTGTCTCAGATTATTTATTTTTTCCAACTATGCTATCGTTAATTTACAAGTACTTACACCATTTGCTTTGCTCACTCTAGTTTCAATTTCTGGGTCCAGACTGCAGTACATGTTTATTATAATGCTGAGATATTGTTAGATTTGAAAATATTAGAAGACCTACATTACAAGTAATGTGCACAACCTCTTTCATTCTTGAAACTAGTCATCTTTTATGATTTCACTAGGTCTCATTTCATCTTGCTTTCTTCAATCAATTATTGTGTAACAATATTCTCCTTTACAGAATTACATATTTGTTTAGTGGCTTATTTCAACATTTTATTGAATAGTCCATTTTGTAGTTAATAAAGTACTCATTTATATCTCTGTACATTCATTCATTTTTATTATTTATTTTTTTTTATTAGGAGACATCTGATATTGAGTTGTCAAGGAGCTTTGCACATATTTCCATTTGATGATCCGCAGTGTTCATTTGCCATGGAGAGCAGTAAGTATTCAAATTTGATATTTGTTTTTAAGTCTATCATCCTCACGCTTTCAAAAGTTTTTTATTATTATATTTGAAAAATATTTTATATTAGATAATAAATTTTCATTTTTTTCTTAATTATACATTTTTAAAATTATAGCTTATGGACACATAAGTATCATTTTTGATGAGTTTCATTTTGTTCTCTTTTTACAGTTTCTTATGAGAATTCATCAATCAGATATGTGTGGAAAAATGATGAGGACACATTAAGAAAATCACCTTCTCTAACAACATTAAATGCATATCTTATACAAAATCAAACTATAGAATGCCCTAAAAAATCAATTTGGAGAGGTATGTGCCAATAATTTTTTGATGAAAATAATTTCAAAGATTTTATTCTTTAGTTTTTAAATTCTGAAAACTTCTGACAGGTTTGATTATTATGTGTTTTTAATGATAATAAATTATCAAAAATAAAAATGTGAATAGTTCTTATTATGTAATGTGGAGTCCATCTTGATTCTTTGCTGTTTGGTGTTGTATGTCATACAAATGTATATATAGTAGAATTCATACAATTTGTATCACTCGACAATGATATTGACTAAAATGGGAGTAAAATAAAAATATTTAAAACAATAAGCTATTTTTTATGAATGTAAAGATGTGACTTATAATAACATACATTTTAACTAACTTTAACTATATATTAATTCTTTAGAATCTAATTAATAGCAGAAAAACCTTTTAAGGTTTAAATTTGCCATTTTTTTTTTTTTTTTTTTTTTTTTTTTTTTTTTTTTTTTTTTTTTTTTTTTTTTTTTTTTTTTTTATCAATTCTGTAGAAACAAGTATAGGAGGGAAATTTCTAAAGAAATTTTAAATAACACATCTTTTATGCCTCAGAAATAAATAAATTGTTCTTTATTGGAATATCTGTAAATTTGAGTAAAAATCAGTTGGGTATTACTAATTTTCATATTGCAGATTACTGATATTCTACTGTATATACCTAATGCTATAAATGTTGCACTCATGTGTCGTATGTTATTCATTTTTGCATGTGGCACTTCTTCTATCAGTATGTTAATATAATTTATTTATTTATAATAACCGTTATGCTATAAAAATCCAAGCTTTATCTTAAAGCCACTGAACTGTCTAATGGTAACTTTTTTTTCAATTTCTTACATTTGACAAAGAGGTCACATTTTGTAATAAAGTGTATTGCTGTTTTAATTTACTTTTTGGTCACTAACTTTTTTCAAAAGTTTAATGGATTTTAAAAATTCTTTACGATGACAATTTTTTTAGGTATACTTAAGTGATATTTTATTGTAAAAACAAATAAAAAATTATTTTTAATGGTAAGTCCAAAACTTCCTGTGATGAGTTTCCTTGTCACATAAACTACACTTTATTTTACAGGATAATATATTGGTTAAAAAATAGAATAGTATGGAATAGATATTTAAAACTTCAAAGCCTAGCTATGTAAAGAGAGATCGCTGAAACTGCCTTTTAGTAGAGTATAGTAATGTGTTGTCTCCTTATGTTTAGTCTCGTAAAATGTGTTCTGTAAATTTGTAAGTGTATCAGCTTTTTTAGATTCAGTCCTCAGTAATCCATGGGAATAAAACTTTTTTTTTCATGTTGTTTACAATAAGCCGAGTTCCTATTAGGTAAATAAAAATCAAGAGAGTCTTGAGTTGTTATTAAATTTTTAGACTGCAATTAAAACCCTCATTTGGATTATAAAGAGAGAAGTTCACATTGAAACATAGTTGTTACAATAAACCAAAAATATAAAATAGAATAATATATAATAATTTAATTATAATTAAATTTAGAAATGATTTAGAAAATCATTGAATTTCCAATTAGATCCCACCTTGGTATTTTTTTGGCAAAGGGAAGCTACTTTTTTTCATAAAAATATTTTTGTTAAAATAAAAATAAAAAAGACAAACTGCATGATATTATCTTCATAGAAGTCTTCTTAATTGTTGCCTATGATGTCACTTCACTGAATTGAAAGGATGTCTTTACTAAAGTTGATTTTCTTGGTACTATTATTGGCTTACCTCTGAACTGCATTTTTTTTTTTTTTTTTTAGAGACATATCTTTGTGAGTACCTCTCAATGTGCCTTATTCCCACTTAACCTCAACCATCTACGGCTCTTAAGCTCACCATATTCTTAAACCAATATCATGCAAGCTGGCGAATGTTCTGGGATGAGTTCAATTCTTATAGTCTAAGTGCTGGTTTTCAAGCACACTAACCTTGAAGATTATTTCATGCAATTTACCACAATTACACATACTTAATGTAACTCATCCTTAAAATAGGTTGGTCTTGTATGACAGTTGCTGTTTGAAAATAATAAATCTTGAACTTGATTTGTTAAATTAATATCCCTCCAAATTTATAATGATTAGTTTTCTTTGAACCAAAAGTGATATCTACAATTAAAATAAATGTGTAAAATAAATGCATGAGACTGTCATGAGATAATAAGTTCTAAATTTTAAGCTGATTTTAATTATACATCTTTTTGCATTAAATAAGTTCATATATACATAGATATTATAAATATCATGTAATTAACCTTTGAATATTATATTTTATAATAATTATAGTAATTGTTTCAATTATATAATTCAATCCAATTTATAATAATTATATTAATTGGACCATGACCTTTTTAGTCATTAAATGACTTAATACCCAATTTAAATAATTACTTTTTAAAAATGTATACATATAAATTATTTTATTTAATTGTAGAATAAACTATATCTAAGATATGTTCTGTATTTTAATAATTCAATGTAGCAATACGTATTGAAATTAATCACATACAAACAGGTTCTTTATTTTAAAAAAAATACTTCTCTAAAATATTATATTAAGCTAAAAAAAAAATGAAATATAAATACTCATAAATCCTATGAATTAGCGACCAACTAATTAATAAACAATTAAATAAATATTGTTTATAATATTTTATGCAATATATTCTACTTAATTCTCATTTTATGTTTCATTAATCTATTAATTAAAATGGTTTATAAAACTGCAAATTAAATAATTGCTCATCTATTTGCAAAAATAATAATGTCATTTGATGATATTCTTTTATTGTCCCTTTATTACTTTAACTTACCTATATATGTAATATATACAATAGTAAGGGAAAGTATTGCGATTATGAAAATTTTTGAATCTGAATATTCAATGGAAATACATGTTTTGAGGCCTCCCGAGTCCAAATAACCAAGTCCCGCAAATTGCTATGCGTGTATGTTATCAGTCTAGCTCAAAAACGAAAAGTCATATGAAAGTGAAATTGCATATTTAAGGTTTGTATAAGACTGAGAATTGATTAAATAAATTTTGTTTTTTGTGGGAAACATGCAGCCTTTGATATCAAATTTGTTCCCTCTCGTGAGTATGCCGATTTCATAAATGTTAACTCATCTATTAATTAATAATTAATTATATAGATTACGACAATATGAAAATTTAAATTTCTACAAATATCTTTAAATATATTAATACTGAAAAATAAAACAAAATATATAAGATAAAAAGGTTTTCCATCTATCTACTATACCTTATTGATATACTTAGAAAAAATGTTAATATTCTAACTTTCGATTATGGGATTGATCTGAATTATGAATGCCACCTAAATTAAAAATCCTTTGACTCAGTTTTGACAAACATGAGTTAAGGAACTTTTTTGATTTGTTATTTTCTTGCCCAATCAAAAATTAATCAAGCATATTTCAAATACAGATTTTGAAGATGTTTTGAAGTTTGAAATATAAATAAATAAAATAGTCATCAACAATAAAACAAAACCTTTTTTGTACCTCTAATCAAGTTCTAAAAATTGAGTTAAGTTGTGTTTACCAACTTAACCAACTTAAGGCAGATATATTTAATTGTCCGAATGACAATATACGAAGATATATAACCATTCCAATGAGCTAGAAAGATTCAATTGGTATAATCATAGTAAACAATGGATATTAATTCAAATGAAATATTTTATTAGTCTAATTATATTATACTAATAAAATATTATTATTAGTATAATAACTAATATCAGCTCACATCATCTAAATCCTTTCAACCCTTGTTTACTAAAAAAATTATGTAATATTCTATAATATACAAACCATGGGTGGTACTGATCCATTTCAACCATCAATTTAAAAAATTTAGTTTACTTGAGTTTTATTGGAAAATAACAATTAATTGTTCCTAATGGGCCCTCATCAAGAACAACTGGCAAATATCGAGTAGAACATATTGTGTACACTAAAACAAGGACAGGTATCACATTAAATATTTTTAAATTATGAATAATATTGATAAATGTAAAGCTATGAATAGATTACACTTACGAATCGCCAAATTAAAGTGTAAATTAATGCATTCTGTGTGTTAAGGCTTTGAAAATATTGCATACCATTGATATTTACATTGATCAAAATTCATTAAAACACTGATAAAACTTTTAATATTATTATACCAATTAGATCATTTTTATGATACGTATTTTGTAAATTTTAGTTTGAAAACCTTACCTCTTTTATTCTTTTTCAATTATCAAAATTTTACAATTTTATTTCTGCTAAAGATGCAGTCTTCAATGTGTGATCTGCAGCAAAACATTTTTTTCATATTTTCATATATTCAATACATTTTATATATTGTATTATATATAATTTAGTAATAATATATTCATTTATTATAATAATGAAAGTTTCATTAGATTAGCCAGTAAATGAATACTGCTTTGATTTATTTATATTAAAGATAAAATATGTTGAAATTTCTTGTAGTTAGGAGATCTTGAAAAAATAGTTTCATTTTAATGTTGGTGAGAGGTGCTATTTGGTTATTTTAGAATATTTTTAGTTTTGAGGTCAATTATAGTTAATTATCATTTTTATTCATTAAACAACACTATTATAAACATGAAAATAGGCATAAAAATTTGTGCACTTTTTCACAAATATACAACATAGAAATAGGTTGTATTTAATCTAAATGCGGTGAATAAAAAAAATATATTTCAACAAATGTTTAAATAAGATCTTTGACTGAATTTGTTATTGCACTGAAATGTGGTCTCTTATTATATTTAACAAAAGGTTACTATTTTCTTCTAATAAATAGATATCGACCATATTGATATTATTATTTTTGTCTAATATCCTCTGACTAAAACTTTTTATTTGTATTAGGCATTATATATTTTTTTTTAAGTAAGGTCCTATATTAGAACTACATTTCATGTAATTATATTTAAATATTAAACAATCACTTTGCATTACTTGGCATGAGCACATTCCATTCTCTGAGTATTGCACAAATACACGTTAGAAGGAATGCTTCTTGTCAAAAATATTATCTGCATGTTCAAACACTTTCTGCACATTTTGGCTCGTTTTACTTTTAAAGAGAGATATAAAATTTTTCTCCTCATATTTTCTTCAAATTTAATTTTACTGATTTAAATTTATGTTTTAAGTTGTTCAATCAATTATTTTTTTCCTACCAAGTTGTTTTCTTCAGTTTAGTTTTTGGCTATAACTAATAAGAATTATCCTTTATAATTTTATTGGTAAACTAATTAATATTTAACCCTCATGGTCTGCTTAATAAATTTTCTCATTGAGGGGATAAAACTCTTGACATAAAAACTACTGGATCAAATGAATAAAAGCAAGAATTATTATTATGACCAAATCACATTAAATAATAAATGTTTATTTTTTATAATAAAATTAAATTAAATCTTTGGAACTTTTGTTAGACTCAGTTCAAAAGCAAATATGAAAAATATATTTTAAAAAAAATTATAATTATAAAATACATAAAATCTTCAAATGTTTTGCAAATAAGGATTAAACTAATTACTTGAGTTTATAATTATGAAAAATATATTAAAATTTCAGTATTTTGATTAGGAAAAAAATATTTTCATTTAAATTTAATTATTAAAATAAGCTCCTGAACTAACAATTTTATAGTTTTAAATAATTACATATCAGCTTTTATGATTGTTAAATGATGTGTTATATATGTGCTTTGTGTCATATAGCAAGTTTTCCATCAATTATTGATAATTCCAGAAATTTGTAATCATTTCAAAGTTGCCGAATATTGAAAATAATCCCAAAATTATTTTCAATGATAATAAAATATAATGACAATTGGTTCATAAAATTTATTATGTTAAAACAGTCAACACCTTTTTTTCTTCTCAAAATCTTATAAGCATCATTTATTTTGAACTGAACAAATATTGGAACTCAAAAATTAATCATTATTCAGGCATTATTTGCAATTATATGCAATGTAACTAATTATTCAATAGCTTTTTCAATGGCTGTTGTTTGTTCCCTAGTCTTAAACACTAGTTGTGCTTATTTGCACAGGCTTTTGTCACTTGATGGGCTGTCTCTTAAAAATGCATAGCTGGGAATAGATTATTTAATACAATTTTGAGACAGGAAAGGGCAAATAGTCTTGAAAAAAAGCAAGTTATTATCAAAAGCTCTCGTGAGATCTATTATTTTCAATAGTCCACTTAATGTAGTACATAATATTCCTCTTAGAATTTTTAATTTATTTTTTATCAGTAGTTAAGAAGAGTATTATAGCAATTTGTGAAGCAAAAACATCAACTATTGATCATAATAGCACTATTAATGTCATGAATGATATTCATTGCATAGTAACTATTGTTGTAAATTTACTTCAAACACGTAGTTTTATTCTATTTATTAGTAATTTAAAAAATTAAAAAAAGAAATACCGTATTCATTAAATTTATTTGCTTTTAAATATGGAAGTGAGATATACTTAAGCTATAAATAATAAAAAAAAATATAAAGACACTTACATATACTAAGACAGATAACTATCTTGAATGACCATTAGTTACAAATTGGATAACCTTTGAAAATTTAAAATGTTAGACATTTATAATTGAGGAGATTCACCATTCATTGTTGGCTCAGGATGTTAAATGGTAATGGTACCAAGGAGGATGTTAAACAATGGTTTTTTACCAGGCATTTACCCATCCTATAGTATTTTAAAAAGATTTTAAGAATAAATTCTAAATTTTTAATGAAAACTAATGACAACATTGCCTGTATATAATTAATATTGGCTACCCACAATTTTATTATCTCTTTGCCTTAGTGCATCACTCTTACCAGTAGTGCAATTAAAAACTGTTTGATAAGCACACTTGTTCTCAAATCCTGAATGTGAGCATTAATAAGATGATTTGAGGTAAAAACAAGTGCTAGTTCATTTAATTTGTATATGTAAATGGTTTTATTTATTTTTAAATAATTAACATTTAAAATTATGATATTTCCTGAACAATTTTTTCTAAAAACATATTTTTCAGAGGGGTTTAGAACATATTTTTGAATTCAAGTATGTATCTCTTTTTAGATTCAATAAGGTACTAGCACTTATTTTAAGATAAAGGGGTGTTGACTAGTTAAAAACTTAAACTACTGTGTTGGAAGAAATAAAATAGTTTACCATGCTCCTTGTTCAGCCCCATTGTGTAATATCTCAACTTTCTCACTGAATCAAAAATAAAACTCACAGAAAGGCAGCTAAATGAAGAATTAGAAAAGCAAAGGGTAATGAATCAAGAAAAATATAATTTGAGCCTTCAACAAATCAATGGTATGTAAACATTAAATGAAGCCTTAATATGCCTAATGAGCAACAGGACATGAAAATTGATTTAGAGCTGGGACCCTATTTTCACCATGGAGTTTTTAGAAAACTTGGCATTTCCCGGCTTTGTTGGAGTATTTACTAAATAAGTGAACACTCCTTATTTAATGGAGATATTAAAACATCAATATTTCCCCTGACCTTTTATTACTTTTAATTCCAAAAACAAAATCGGTATAATTACAATTTAAGTTTTTAAAACCTCAAAGAGCTACTAATATGTTTTATATGAATAAATGAAATTGTTGATAAAGGAGATAAACAAACTGAATTACTTTGAACTTATTGAGCTGATCATTCAATTGCATAAAACAATTTAAATAAAGACTTATATTGTGAGAAATCAAATTTATTTAAGTTCTTTATGTCTGCCATTTTTAATGAAGCCCTTTACTCTAAATATTCTATTTTTAATCTTTCATCGATATGTTCTTTGTATGCGCAAAAATTCTGTGTGTTAGTTGTATTTTTGATGTTGGTATTTCTTGGTTTTCATAATATTTATATTTATTTGTAAATGATGTCAAGGGGTCTATTTATGTAATCTATAACTTGAAGAACTATTTCCTGTGGCCTTGATTGACAGTATAGTTCAGGTTTTATGAATTTATATTTATGATTCTCAAATTTAATTTGTTGTGAACTCATTGGATGCAATAAAAGCATTTTATTTTTTAATAGATCTAATTTTATTAATGAATCCTATTGTTATATAAAAGTTGCCATAAGTCATAAATGTGTAAATGGTTAATTAAATATCGTTTGGTATAAAAAAATATCCTTAATAGATTTATCTTATAATTTAAATTGAAGTATCCCATGTAATTAAAGCCTATGAGTCATTTGTAATGTTACCTAAATCCAATATTTTTTGTTTTAACATTTGGTTTATTTTGATTAATTTCATTTATTTCAAATTAAAATAGGATTCTTGCTCACCAATCCTATAAAAGAAATAATACCTACTATATAATTCACTCCTATATTTGTTTTTAGAATGTAGAGAGAAATGGTGAGTCCAATACATAATTTCTAACAATTAAAATTTTGGTTTTCTAATTTGTATTACTATGTTTTAATCATGGAGCTATTCAGTTATCTTCATAACTCTGAGTGATGCTGTTATGTGTGAAAACGAAAAAAATAACAAGTTAATCAGTTGTTTTATAAAATATCTGGTATCATTAAATTCTCTTCTCTCACTAAATAAATAAATATCAGTTAAATCTTAGAGTCCTGTATCCCTTAAGTTAAAAAAAAATAACATTGTTTTAATGCTAACATTACTATAGCCTTTAATTTCACTAAAAGAGATTATGAGGGTCTCAAATGCTGGTTCAGAACAGTTTGGGTTTATTTCCCACTTGGATCAGTTATTATTTATTCTGTGATGTTATCATAAAATGCACCAGGAGGCATCTATTGGGTACATGTTTTGCTGTTTGAGGTTGGGCTAAAGAAATCAACATGTTCACTTTGCGGACTAATTCCCTTATCATGTTGAACCAGTTGGTAGATTAGAACTTTCAATTTCTGTTTCTATATTCCTTTCAAGAAATAAACAAACTCTTAATGCGGTTTCTTGTCAGTCTTCCTTTTATTTATTTTTTTCCCCCCAAACAATAATACATCAATTAATAGTGTAAAATTAAATAAATGTTGTTTATTTTATTTATATAAAACAATATAAAATCTATTTCACCCATAACTCTAATTAATTATTACAAATTAATAAATTTTTAACATTCTTTTGGATTTTATCATTTCAATATTAAAATGATGTTTGAAAAGTATGGAACACTAAACTAAGTTAAATAAATAAAAAATGCAGATATTAATAAAAAAATATTCAAAGTATTTACTAAAAATTGAGGCCCCCTCATATTTCTATCTCTCTAATCCTAATTTTTTCATTTTTTTTTATTTATTTTTTTTACAATTAGCAATGTAGTAAAAAAATAATTAAAAAATTGGCACCGTTCTATATTTTTTATTTAATTTTAATTTTTGTGCTAATACAGTAATTCTTGGAAAAGCAGCTAATATAAAATTTAAAAGTACTATATGAATTGAAGTGTATTTAGCTACATTTCCCTTTTAAGAAGCTCTATTTTCCTTAGTAGTTCAGTATTTTAATTTCTTGAATTTCACTTTTTCTACAAAAAGTTTTCATTATTCAAGTCAAAATTAATACTTAAATATAAGTATTTTTTACTTAGCTATCCAAGTTTTACTCTGTACATATGAGTAGACCTTTTTTTTTTTTTTTTCCTCTTTCGTTAAAATAAATGGGTAGAAAAAGTGTTTTGGTTTGCTTCTCACTTTCGACGTGATTTACTGGACTGCCAGAGGTGACAAAAGTTTGTTTTGGCAGATGATGAGGACGCAGCTGAGCCGAATATATGTTCCCTGTGTCAGCGAAGGTTCGAACAACAAGGTAAACTTCAGCAGCAGCTCACATGAAATCAATCCACTATACTATCCACTTACGGGGGAGATAAATTTGTATTTATTATTATATTTACTTCTATTTAATTTTCCCTTTAGTTTACATTTTATTTCAAGTATTGCAGTAGTTAAATTTTGCAAAAGACATTATAAGTTTCTCTGAATAGTAATATTAGCTGTTCATTAAATGAATAGTTTAGGAAGCAATAAATAATATTTTATAGCTCATTCATAGTTTGATTTTTTTTTTTTTTAAAGCTGAGGACAATTGGAGGTCTCTGGTTACTTCTCAATATTTTTTTTTACAAGCTTTGTTGACGCTGCTGCCAATATATTTATACAGAAAAACTTCTCTGTGGCTGACACCTATAGGGAATCAAATTCGGTTCTTGAAAGATGTCTGTTTTAGATAAATTGGAAGTAAAATATGATAAAAAAAAATAAATTAGTGGATTAAAATTTTATGTTCTAAGGCATGCATATGTAATTGTACATCCATTTAAAGAATATTTGTATTAGTAAATTTATAATTAATATATAGTTTCATGAGAAATAATGTATTTTACAAGTAATGAAAGTGTGCATATAAACATAAAGTTTTATCATTTCAAATTACTTAAATCAGCCATTTTCATTGGAACTTTTTGTTGAATAACTGTTTTATTTTCTAAATTGCCTTGGATGGATGAAATAATTGCAACCGCTTCAATGCCTTCATTCAAACAGAATTTTTTTTCAGCCTAATCTGTGATAAATTTACTTCTGCATTCATTGGGAGTTCAGTATCTTGTTGGTCCTCTATTTCAGAACTGTGGTGTAAAATAAAATAATTTAAATAACTCATCATCAATATGAACTATTATATAATCTTTTAATAATTTCTAGATAAAATAAGTTCACTCAGAAGACTCAGAGACTACGACTTGTCACATTACAGGTGCAGTGCAAGTATAATTGTTTGAAATAGTAGGGCAAGTGTTGGGGATCAAGATATGACCTTAGCAATTCCATTCAAATATTACTTGATCGGTGTTAGAATAAATATAAAATCTGGTTTTAGGATTTGTTTTCATTAACATGGGTCTACTGTTCATTTTTTCTTTTAAAGTTAACTGGAGGCTAGTCAACAATAAAATCTCCAGGAGAACTAACAAAAAAAGATTAAAACTTTAACATCTGTTTTAAAACCAAATTTCCAGTATACATAATTGAACTAAGTATACTATAAATTGTATTAATGTTCTTAGAATATGAGCCTCAGTGACTTCCTGCTGTCTTTTATGGAGAAACTTTTTAATCAAAATTCTTACATCAAGCCTGTCTGCGCCCATTATAGAGAAAATCCATTATGCAGATGTTGTTTATACTGTAAAGATATTATTGAAATCAGATGGGGATTATAAATGTGTGTCCTATAAAGAAAATTCTACTATTGGGGAGTGTCTGCTACAGGAAGTTTCACTGTATATATATACATATACACATATAGTTAGTTATAGATTGTTATTAGTCAATAATTTTATTGTGAGCTTCTTATATTACCAGTATACTTTTTATTCCCATTTAGCATAGGAATAGTCAATTATTTTTTGGATCATGCTGTATAAAAATCGGGAAAATGAAATGAGCCACTAAAAGTGTGACAATCACATTTAAAACAACTATTGTCTATTTCAACCTATATTTGTAATATATCAATGACTAAGTGGTGATACCTGCAAAGTGAATATTTTACTAAAGGGACATGAAACTGTTTTAAAACACAATTCATCAGAACATTATTCAATTTTTTTTTGTATTTCTCATGACTCCATGGAGCATATTGAAATATAATAATGATCTATATATACATATATAATGTATCAATGATCTCTAAAATGGAAGATTATTTTGGTGCATGTATAGTTGCGAGGTTTCACTTCTTAGCCATCAATATACGCTTTCAATTAGTTGGATCGCAATCAATATTTTCAGGTCTTTACTGAAGATAATCTTTTCTTTTTGTAAGGTTTTATATGTGGTTGATATAGAAATAGAAAATTATGTTTATGCAATATTTAATTATTTTGAAGTTAAAACCATTCATTTTTTCTTTTAAAAAATCATATAATAATTGATCAAAGAAGAATCTTACACTTAAATTGTATTTCTTGTATGTGCTTTTCTGCAATAAATTTTCTGAATAAACATCCACATCATCAAGTTACTTAAAACAGATTTCCTTGATCAATACTCATCGATAAAATTACATGAGCTAGGTGATGAACTGTGGCCCTTAATTAACACTGAAAATGTGTCCATAGATAAATTTAATATAAATTACATTTGGAAAAAAATCTATTTCTTATTTACATTACAATAAAAATTATTTACTGATATTTGGTATAGATTCACTTTTTCCAACATATTAACTTAAAATCAGAATTGATGGTCTGAAATATTGGCATAGAAGGTATAGAACTTTTTAAAATATAACTTTGGATGCCTAATTGTCATGTTTTTATTGAATTTTTAAAGAATTGTCCTCTTAAAAAATGTATAATTATTAATATTATTAATCTTAATATAAATTTACAAAATATCAAGAGATTAAAAACAATGTATAGTAATAAATGTGTATAACAAAAATGTAACATTAAAAATTGAATATGCCAACAAAAATAATTTATTTTGGCTGATCTGATCAGGTAGCAAGGCAGATAAGTTCCAGACAGCTTTTATTCCCCTGTAACCTAGAATGTTTATTGTTTCACACCTTTATTTCGTCAAATTATTCCATAGAGACTTCCAATTTTCTTTCCTTTCCTTATTTATTTCTTACCACCCCACAAATTCATTTAATTGTCACCTAATAATTAAAATTTGTTGACATAAAAAAGCTTCATGAAAAAAAAGGTGGGTGAATTCTGTAACATTTTTTTAGTTGTATAATAAAATGTTTTCACTATTTCTAAAAAATATCTTAATGCTACTTATCTAACTAATAAAACCAATAAGTTTATTGCTAATAAAATTACTTTGAATTAACTAATATTTAAAATTGATTTAAATCTCTTATTTATAATTTTTTTATTAACTAAAATATTGTTATTCCTATTATTTACATTTTAAAACTTGAAGTGCTTTGATTTTATATAAAACATTTAGTTTAACCTTAGTTATCTTTAATATAACTTCTTTCGTTTCGTTTAAATGCCCAAATTTCAAATGATTACATTCGCTTATTAACTTATGGCAGCTTACACATTTGTATTCATTATGCTTTTGTGTTTTTGTTTTGTTTTTGTTTACTTGTCATATTAAAAATTCAATTTCATTTTTTAAGCCTTTTGTGACTGTTATATGCTTACAGTTCTTAGGCATGCTGTTTAATTTAAAATAATTTTCTTTTCAGGGCATATCATGCCCTATATCTTAGGTTATCTAGTATATAACAAACAGTTATGGTACATGTATATTATCTACCATAACTTTAAGTTCAAATTTATAACAGAAAAAAATATGTTATATTCTTCCATTATTGGCCTGCCCTAAATGTGAAATATTTTCCACCTTTTAGTGATTCTGTTACTTATGCATAATGTTATTAATTAAATCTTTCTTCTCAATTTTTTTATTTTTGTTCAATTTTTTCTTGTACAGGAAATTACAGTTGCCTTAAGGTGGACCTTATATTTACTAGAGATAGAGCATTCTATTTTACGACAGTTTTCATCCCAGGCATAATACTTGTCACATCATCATTCATCACTTTTTGGCTTGAATGGAATGCTGTTCCAGCTCGTGTCATGATTGGTAAGGTTGATATCTATTCAAATAAGGTTTTTTAGTAATGGTAAAAAATACCCCTTGCAAGATAGAATGGAGAGTTAATAAATGCTGAGTAAAAAAAATTAAAATTATATTAGATCAAAGGCTCCTTAAGATTCTGTAACTCAATCATTGTCACAAATAAAAAAAATTAAGAGGTTGCAACTGCCCTGTTTTAATTGTACAAGAACTGAGTTTTTCTGATTCAACTATTTATGACCACCATTTTGAATTTTAGATCCTTAACGCAATATTTAAATTAATAAAAAAGTTGTTGATTGGATAATTGTATGTCATATGGCATTTAGTCATTATGAGTTTTATATTTTTGAGATATGATTTAATTGCAACACAATAAAATAAGAAAAATGGGTTTACAATATTGTTCTTGTTTCTGATGATAAAAAAAAAAAAAAAAATTGATGGCAAGAAGAGCATCTTAGGAAATGAAGAGTAATAAAGTCAACCAAAAGCCTGGTAACCTAGAAAAATAGAGAAAGAAAAAAAAATAGAGAAAAAGAAATATAGTATATAAGATATAAAAATATTCATTTGTACATAAAAACAATAAATACCTGATTATTTTTATCTCAACAATTTTAATTTCTCATCAAATTTAATCTTCTTTTTAGGAGTAACTACAATGCTCAACTTTTTCACCACTTCTAATGGATTTCGTTCCACTTTACCGGTGGTCTCCAATCTTACAGCTATGAATGTCTGGGATGGTGTGTGCATGTGTTTCATATATGCTAGCCTTCTGGAATTCGTTTGTGTAAACTACGTTGGTCGAAAAAGACCTTTGCACAATGTTGTGTACCGACCAGGAGAAAATCCAGTGACACAGGTCAGTTTAGTTGTTTATCTTTTATTGAAAATTTTCAATATAAATTTCTATCCATAGATATGGTATTAGTGAACGTTTTATTTTTTGTTTTTATGTATTTTTTCCCTTCTCGGTTTCAAATCTTATACTGGAAATACTGTACTTACAGGCTCCAGAACACTTTAGAGAAATTCATTCATGTACATATTTAAATTTGATTTAAAATAATTAATATATTGTGAATGATTTTATACTCTTCTTATCATAAGTCATAGTCCCTGTTAACAAATTCTTAGAAAAATTTGTTGTCATAAAACTCATACATAGCACCACCTTTTTTTATCATTATGCACAATATGTTGTTTATCACCATATTTTTGTAATTTTTTAAAAAATAAATCATTCATTTATTGTCATTTAAATGCATGATAAAGCCTTAAATTTTTTATTTTCACCAAAATTCTTATCCGTAGTAGTTGAAAAAAATACAAATTAATTTCTTTGAAACAACTCTGCTCTACTTTAGAATTTATGATTATTGTATTTCAACATACCATATTACCATAGTAATCTCACTACATATTTTTAAAATTACAATAAAAATTTATATTTTTCAATATTTATTAATTTTTTAATACACTATGGGCTTTCAGTTTTTGTTTTTTGTTGATCTGTCAACATAAATATTTCTAAATACATTTTTTAATATGTTTTTAAAAGGCACTAGGAATGGACAGTTTTTTAATTTTTGAGTTTTGCTTTTGTAGTTTTCAAGAACCATTTTCTTTGGTGTTAAATGTGTTAACAATTCCTTTATTTTTATATTACATTACAATTTTTAACATTAAATCTTTATTGCAATAAATATGTCTGGAATTCTGAAAACAATTTTGTATTTAATAAAATTCGTTTAATAAACTGACCAATCCTGTTGCTATTAATAGTTAATCAGCAGTGACATTTTGTCAGTTTTTGTTGTGGTTTTGCCAATGTTGTTGTGGGTGCACGTTGTCTATGTCTGTGTTGCAGCGGTTGCCAGCTGTCCTCAGCAGAATCGGTATTATTTTGGCCACTCCGCTGGTAAGAGATCATCAGTATTAGCAAAACAGAAAACTACAATTTAAAATGAGCTAAATAAAAAAATTATTAAAATTAAACCTATATCGATCACATCACATTATTTTATAATTCACCCCTTTAATTCCTCCATCATTCTGTTATATATAATTATATGTGTTAGACACAATCTGCCTTGCTTATGAATGACCTGTTCTTAGATGAACTTTGCATTGGTTATGACAATGAGCTATTGTTAATGCTTCGGCTATTACTTTATACCCTTATTACTTTAATTTAAGGTATGCACCATATGAAAAAACAAAAAAAAACTATAATGCTGAAAAAAATATATATCTTTGGCTTTACTACCAAATCACACTATTTGCTCCTAAAATATTGAACATTATTTCAAAGAACAGCCGCTTACTTACATTTTTTTTTTTTTTTTTCTGAAGAACAAATTCAAAATTATAAGTAGCGTGAGAAAGTTAGAAAAGTCGAAATGGCTGATCACAATGCTTATATTTATTAGAGCAAAGCAGCAATTGCCCTTATTAATGTTTTCATACAAATATATTTTTATTTATTTACTTTTTTTTTAATTTCGGATAGAACCCTCTTTTCTGGTTTGTGCAACTAAACACAATGTGATGTCCAAGGTAATTTTAATGTTTTTTTTAATTCATTGTAATAGATAGCATTCATTCCATTTTTTGTTTTTCAAAACAAACTTTTATTCACTTTATCAAATTTAGTTTTTTAATAAATTGAAAGAAAAGTTAATGACAGTCTGTTTATTTATTGTTTTATTTTTTGTGCTTCTAGACATCTAGGGTCTCCAAACTTTTACAGCAGGTGTGTTATAATTTTGTCTGTGTTCCCAAGTCACCCAAAGTAGAAATTGTTTCATAATCTTTCTTTATGCCTTTCTCTGAAAAAAATGTTCACTGATTTTCTTGAAATAAAAACATAAAATAATATACATAGGGTATATCATGATCAGCAGACCATAGGCCGGAAGATCCCATATCCCATTTACAACAAAGAAGTTCATATAGTTCCATATAAAAAAGTGAGAAATTAAAGTTCTGTATTTTTTAAGAAAGTTACATTTTCTGTTTAATATGAAAAAATAAATAAAAAAATATTTTATTTGAGTAACTATCAATAGCAGCATCAGAAACTAGACAAATTTTTCTTCAAATATAAGTAGAATTTTTCTTAGGTAAAACCATTTTAAAGGTAATTCAAACTGGTCAAATTAAATTCTATTTTCCATACAAACATAATTTATTCAAGTTTTAATCTACTATGGGACTAAAGGATATACACTTTTAGAAAAACTTCTTTGATTATTAACCTTAATGGTATTAATTATGTTGAGGTTTATTATAAAATAAGCTAAGAGTCATAACCACTTTTATAAAAAAAAAATAGGTGATATTAAATTCTGTCCTCAAAATACCAGTATTTTCAGTAAAAATAATTACTATAAAACATCACAAACTTTTTTCTCCGTGTGATCTGGAATATATTGTAATAAATTAATTATTAAAATATATATTTTATTTATTAAAAATGTATTTAAAAAACTGCTTTTTCTAAAAACAAAAATTAAATTATCATTCAAAGTGAAAGCTCACCTTTAACTGAATTATGGTATCTAAGATATTTACCTTTTCATTAAAGTAATTTCAGCAATTAGCAGGTTTCATTTATTAAAAAAGCTAATTAATAATAATAACCTGTTATACTATATCAGTAATGATTATACCTAGCAACAAACTATTTCTTTGTATGAGAGTTTATTATATTTTATTGGTTCTTAAAGCTGCATTTTTAAAGCATACTTTTCATAAATAAAAAATGTATTAAGTAATTAATTAATTATAATATATCGCAGGCATTATAAATAAATTCTTAAAAACAAACAAATAAGTAGTTGTTAAATATATTAACGTTTCATAACGATTTATTGTAATTATTTTTGCTGAAAACACTGATACTTTGATAATGCAAAATTTTACACCACCTAATTGTTTTTAAAAAGTGATGGAGACAGTCAGCTTATCCTTTAATAAACCTCAACTTAATTAATTTGGACTTAAAGCTTATTAATCAAGAAAGATTTTCTAAAAATAGGCATCTTATAAATATAAGGATACTGATAAAAAAATTGTGAATAACTCATTTTTTGTATGAAAAACAAAATTTAGTTTATCTACTTAAAAATTAACTTCGTAAGATTTTAATTGGAATAAATGTTACATGCATTTGAAAAAAACTTTGTCTAGTTTATGTTGATGCAATTGCTAATTGTATAAATAAAATAATGAATAGTCAATAGTTGAACTTAGCAGATTGAGGCAAGGGATGGTCTTGGGAGACAGTCATAAAAAAATAAAAATGTTGGAAACTATTTAAATTTTAAATGGATTTAAGTTAAAAATAAATATTTTTTTTTTTACTACCATCCCGGATCATCTTTTTCCACAAATTAAATAGTTTTTAGTTGCTATTTCCTATTCAACAAAAAATACTGCTTTCTTCAAAAAACGCAATGATATAATTGATTGCTTTTTCTTTTTGGAACCGGACTCTGCTATCAATGAGCTTTTTTGCCACAAATGAAGTATGGAATCACTCAATTCTTGACCCATGGTCTGCTGACACACTCTATATATATTTATTAAGTGACCAATTATGTATTATTTTGTCTTTGTTTACCATTCTCAATTAATAGAGTAATAGCTAATGCATAATAAAATATTTTTTGTTTTTATATTTAATTTGAACTTTTCAATTATTAGTTTTATTAAATTATTCTGCACTCCTATATTTTTCTTGTTTAAGCTTTGATCTATCTTGAATCATATTAACACCACTATTTATTTTGAAATACATAGAGGAAATGAGATGTGAACAGCAATACATATTTAAAATAAAATCTTGTTTTTTTTTTTTTTAATTTTGTCACCTTTTATGTTTGTCATTTCCTGTTTCAAGTTAATCAAACTGTAAACTACTTTTCTTCAAAATAAAATTATAACACGTCTATAAAAAAAAACAACTAAAGAAAGAACTATATCCTGTTCAAAATAATGGTTGCGTCAGCGCTTAAGTTGTCTTGTTAAATTTAATTATAGTTCCACTAATCAATGTTGCTTGGTCCAGGTGAGATGGTGAGCAACCTACTATATATTAACTATGTTTCTCATTTTTATACACTTTTTCCTATTAATAAGATATTTCACTATAATCTGAAGTAAACATTTTATTTTTATATTTCATTAATATAGCAATTACTTTTTTGGTTAAAGAACTTTAATATAGGTATCTCCTTCTATTAATTAAATTATTTTTTCTTTCCAAATACAAACATTCACATTCATAGCATTTTTAGGATAATTTGATATTATAATCATGTAATTTGATTTAGTTTAAGCTATAGTTCATATCTATGTCTTACCATAAAACAACCTTTATTTGTATTTGCAATTTTAATTTTAAACAAAACTATTTCCTAAATTATAAGGATATTTCTGTCATATATTTCCATTTTATCCGACAACATTCATTTTTTTGTGAATGAATTACTTTTCCGTAATGAAAAATAGAGGTTGCTCTCCACTACCATTTTTTACCTTTGTTAATGATTGAACATATTAAACCAAAAAAACGTGTATGGTTTCATGATTTTAATTGATACATTGTAGTGAGATACTGCAATTTAAAAAGTTAGTGGATTTCTTTTTAAAATAACTATATTTACGGACGTAATACTCCCAAACTTGCATAATTAGCATAGAATAATTCTGTCTTCTAAATTATAAAACAAATTTATTTACATTACTTGATGAACTATTGTAAATGAAGAAATTAATTTCAAGAGAAGAAAAGAATAGTGAGTTGATTCATTAATTGTTAAAAATATTTTGATCCATATTTTGCTTTTTATTTAC